TTTTGTAGTAGGAACTTAAACTCATATGCAGAATCACCTCTACAAGTGCCGTGGAATATTAAAGATCCTATCTGACTGGCAGCTTTTCATCAAGGGACTGGTGTAGACAAGGAATTGAAGCCTAATCCCCATTGTGGGTTATAGGATATTGCCATTTTCACACTCCATGTCTGTCTTATGGAACTGATTCAGAGWGTAATTACTGCTCAGATAAGCCTTTTCCGGAATATGTGCAATTAATTCTCCCACAAAAAAGGGGGAAGAAGCCTGACACTTTAATAATGTTAAAGTACACCTAATCTATTTCTTTTCTACTCCTAATGTTTCCTAAATATGGTGGAGAAAGAGGATTTGAAACTACTTACAAATGCTGGCTCTTATGTAAATTATCCACGGCTGTGTAATACTCTCTCATAAAAACAGCCAACATGAAATAATACTGCAAACCAGCAGAATGTACAGCAAATGGGTAATCAGTGTAAAGATTAATCTAGGTTTCTCTTTCCAAAAAGAAGAACTAATATTTTTCAAATGGGAACGATGTAATTTCTTTAAAATTTCAAGGACAACTTCTTTAAAATTTTGAAAATAGCCTGAACTAATGAAAATTTCTCTTTTTCACAACAATTAAAAAAGTTATTGTATCCATGCTTTTATTRAATTATTATCCAAATGTCATTCTTTGCTTGTCAAAACAAGTTGTGATGTTAAGACTAAAATTCAAGGGATCTGAACTGCATAACTACATTTTGAGGATATTTTTACACTTAACCTAAGTGTCTTTCATAAACAGTTCCTCAGCAGGATTCAAATGCATCTAAGGTTTTCTGTTACACTTCAAAGCTGAATAAAAAGTACTCATCTTCACCATACTTCAAAAATTGAACATTTGGCTAATTGCCCATTATTGAAATCAACCTACAGAAAACAGCTAAGCCTGCCATTGCTCTTGCCCTCTAGGAATATATTGCATTTAGTATATAGCAAAAAAAATAACAAATATAAAAAAACCCTCCTCACCAAACCATTCACCCAACCACCCCCTTCCCCCAAAACACAGCTCAAGTCCCATGCCCCCTCAAATAATTTAACCTAAGTTTTGGACAAGGAGGTAGAGCTTATTTATGTTACAAAGATGAGAAAAAAACCCCTAAAAATTAAAATAGGGCAGTTAGCATGTTTTGTTGAGCTGATTCCAGAGTATCTAATGCTAAAGCACTAACTTCTACAGATTGAGGTAAAGCCCACTTACCTAGTGGGGCACAGTATAGTGAGGCACAGTACCTCACTATTCCATAAATGTAAAAAGCTCAAAGTCTTGATAAAGAGCAACCTCCACAGCAGAAAAATATTCCCAGAAGCTGGGCTAMAAGGGGGATTGATTTCCTAACTTTGCCTTCAATTCCACTCAGAATCCACTCAAACTGCCTCACTGCATTTTTCATTTTGGTGGCACAACGCAAAACTTAAGTCACACAGGGAATCAAGGTTGAAAGGATAATGCTGTTAACACTCATTTTTCAGCGTGAATGTTGCTGTACCAATGACAGCAATAGAATAAATGTTACTGTAAACAGCAGTCAGTTACTTTTGCCRATATAGCATGAAAATATTTTCTGCTTAAAGTCACTCTAAGTGCTCACGCTGCAGTGGAAAAAGATCAATTTGGGAAAATGTACGTGAAGATGCARTTGCAGAGCTGGGTATGACACAGCTGAGGTTTCAAACATCTTCAAGTCCAATGAAAACKAAGATGTTCATTTATTTTAATTATTTTAGGGGAGAAAAAAAGAAAAAAAGATGTGAACATTCCCTGCAGAATGGGTCCACCTAATTTGATTTCCCACATAAGAYAACATTTTCACAAATGAGTAGAGTTTTGAGACAACTGATGGTGTCAACCCAAATTTTCACTTCCTGCTGAGGTTTGCCATTTCCAGAGGGCTTTAGAGCAGGTTTGGGTAGCTGACAACTTGGAAGCCAACTCTCCTTCAATTTCTCAAGCAGGCATTTTTCAGGGGACCATGAGAGCATAGAGGAATTAATTCCACTTCCCTACCTACCCATATTTATTTCTCCAAAGACAGACACACTTSTGGCGACAAAGGCAGTCAATACAAATAATGACTAAAAAAAAGAACAAACAAAAATTGCGTAAGAGACTATTCCGGGTTCTTATTTGTTTGCTCAGAGGTAGGTGATGGCTCCTTGCATTTTATCCTTTCTACCTGGGCATTGCAACTGAGCATCACCACCCCTATTTTTATACCTCAAGTATTTACCCTTTTCTCCCTTAAAAAGCTACGTAAYAATTACAAGCTCTAAAGCTTCATCGGCTCACACTCCGTTGGCACTTTCCTCAGCTCAGCTCAATGTTTAATAATGCACTCAAATGAGGCAGAAATGCTTTTTAAAAAGTATTTAAAATTAGGGAAAAAAAATCAAAGGAGGGTGGGGAAAACTACTAGAAAAGTCTAGCAAATCTAGAGAAAAGAAACAAGCAAAAGCTCCCAAGGAGTCAAAATTTACCTGAAGTTCACTTAACTCACAGAAGAGTTTTAAAGTAAAACCAGCGAACCAAGGGTTTTAAATCTACATGCAAACATTCAACTCAAATGCTGGAAAGTACAAATATTCATGCACTTCTCAAGAAGCACAAAACTGACTCCTACTCAAATCAATTTTTATGTGCCACTTCTGAATTAACATCATGATGCCACAATTTCCAGACAGGCAAGTTGCATTTACAAGTTTTACATTTCCATATTCAGAGTGGGAAATGGAACAAGGGCTACCCCCAAGATAACAAGAACAAGAATGGTAGTTATCTATTAAGAGCTATGTCTGTAATAAATTGCAGCTCTGTGAAAACATGTACAGTTTCATTAGCCAAAAATTACTGCTTTTAACTTCTATAAACATTCACTTTCCAAATATTTACGGTCTTACAAACGCATAAATTAGTGTAACATTTTCAGAATACTAAAGCATGTTTCACATCAATTTTTGGCCAATTTTATGCATGCTAGCAAAACATTATCAGAATTTCCTAGCAATCATTTCAAATTTAATTCATCTTTAACAGCTCTGAAAAGAGAGGTTACTTTCCCTGACTAGCCCACTGTATGCAGCTCCTAAGAGCACCTCACTCAATCAGGGGCAAACTGCCATGATGGCAGGACTGAGGGCAACTCCAGAAAGAGGGCACTGGATGTGCAGTATTGCAGGAGAAAATACCATAGAGATTAAAAAAGTACACCCATGACTGTACTTAAACAACTCAGACACACAAAAAAAATAAATATCCTTTTTTTCCAATCCTGTGGGCACCCACTCCTCTTTCTAAGAGTCACAAACTTAAATAGCTTCTGTCATGTTCACCTCCCAGACTGGCTTTATTCACTTCAAGTAGGAGTAAATCAGATCTACTCGAGTCCTTTCAAAACTTAATTTCAAATGACTAAATATGGGCTCAAGAATCCCTCCTGCAAGTCCTACAGTGTCAAAACTGCAGTCAATTAATCGTGAGTTAAATCCATGGTACTTACTTTCAATCATACAGAAATCCTTATTTCAGGGCCCTAGGAAGTTGCACTTTTTTGTCTATTATGACAGTTCCCTGTGGGTCCTTTTATTCTTCAACTGACATGTACAATGATGAACTTTGACAACAGTTAACAGCAAATGAGGTACAGCTCCCTGTATCAATACAGGGTAATTCCACACAGACAAAATTGTAGAGCAGTTAAATAGCATATGTTGTGAACTAGTCTGATATAAAATTAATGCTCCAGCACTGTGGAGAAGCTTGATGTACCCTCTGTCCCATTTTGTCATTTAATTTTACATAATAATTACACAATACATCATTTCTTAATGTAGCCAAATATGAAACAAAGAATATTGATGATGTGTATTTATTTTGCAGATGTTAGTGTAGCRAAGAAATCTTTCACTCTTGGGCAGGATTACATTTTTCCCATGCAACTTGAAATTCAGTTATTTGGTCTTTTTAGTGAGTATATAAAATRCGCAGTAATAGATAAACCTGAATTAATTCTGTTCAAGTTCTGAGCTAACCACGAAACATGAGACAAAAAGGCACAAAAAACCCCTGAGGTAGATCAGCTAATTAAGAACTAATTAGGGAAACCATCCCTTGTCCCAAAGGGTGCTTAGACAAAATCMTAGGTACTCACACACCTGCAGCTTTCATGGAAGGAATGTATGTGCTGAATGTCTTCCTGAATGTGGTAACCCTACATGCTTTCTCTGCAGTGTTTAAGTTCTCTGCTGTGACAAAGGAGGTAGAAACTCCCCTTATTTAAAAATATTGAAGACATGCTTTAATCATGTTCCACCAAAAAAGGAATTTYAGAATTCTGTTTGCACAGCCTTAACTAAACAATAAAATGCATTTTGACATGTTTAATTTTTTTTTTAAATGCTGTAGCACATATTTTACTTCAGTGACTAGGAAGTATTTTGTTAATCCTTAAAGCAGTAGTAGTCAAGCATTAGTAGCTCATATGCTAAGTAAAGGTGCAGMAATTGTAAGAATATTTATTTTATTCAAAGACATCTATTATGGCAAATAAAACATATTTCCTTTCCTACTGAACAATCTCACAGATGTGAAAAGCAGCTCATGGGAGAARTAGTGACAATTTATCAAGCATGTGCATGGCCCTTCAAGATTTCTGGCATATGCATACAGTGCTGTGCTTATCTGCCTCTGATCAAGACAACTGTCAACACAATCTTTTCAAAGAAACTTTTACAAGCAGTGAATCTAGACAGTAGCCACTTCATAGGCTGACAAGTCCCTAGAAAAGTACAGTCAGTGTTATCAATGTTTATCTGAATGATTAACATAGCCTCAGGCTAGCAATTCTGTAGCAGGTGTAAAATTGTATTTCTTTAATTTCAGGTCTTGGAGTGACATTATCAGGTAAATGACCTCAAAACCACCCCCAATAACCCCGACTGCTTCTCCTTACCAGCTCCTCACGAAGCTGGGCTATGACTTCGTCTCTCTCCTTCAGCTGGAGCTTCAGCRTAGAGCATTCATCTTTTATTCCATCCTACAAAAACATCAAAAGAGATGTTATAATAGGCTTAACGCTTCTACTTTGCTCATGACAAGAAAAGGCTGTTTCACATAGTGTGAGATAATTRCATTCAAATAATGAAACTCAATTTTCCTTTGTCATGTGTGGTATTTTCAATAACATTTCCAAAGTTGCTGCATAAACAAATTAATGCATCCAAAGACATTACATAGAAATGCGAGCAGCTCCCTGCACAGAGGTCCATTTCATTGTTTTCTGACTCTTTTAAGCCTTTTTATTGAAGATCCCATCAGATTRTTCCTTTTCATCTGAGAAACAGCTATGAAATGTTATAATTTTAATCATACAAAACAACATTAGAGAAATATCAATTTAGAGCATTTTTGCAGAGCTCTTGATCTTGGAGAGATGAAAAAGAAAGAACAGACATCCACAGAAAAAGGAAAGCACACTCCCCATCCATCCATCTTTTGTCCCACACCAGACAAAACAGCAGCAGTTCTGGTATTAACTGGGGGAGGAAAGAATGTAGTTACCAATTAGTGAAATAACCACTATAACTCAATTTGACCTGCATGAAAATTACCTTAATTGCTAAAACTGCAGCCAAACCCAGGTCTAGGAGGCAGGCTGCAGGCTGTCCCCAGAAAATTTTCTGAGTTCATCTAAGTCTGAACACCATATTTGAAGAAGAACTATCCATCATGTAGTTTTGTGCTCTAATAAACATTTAAGAGGAGAAACTCAAAATAATAGACTGAACTGCTGAAAACTAAAAACCTAGCAAACTAATCAGCAACTAGCTGGTCATACAATTACAACTGAAGAACTCTATTTTTACATCCTTCTAGAAGGGAGACCCATTTCATTTGTGAAATTTGCTAATTTGGAGCATTTACACTGGAAAAAAATCCACAAGCTATATGACAAGAAAACTTATGGAAAAGTGGTGGTATATTCACAACATTTACCTGGAAAATTAAAAAAAAATGGACCTCTAGTTATCAGCTGGTAACAGTATAAGACTGCAGAAATTATTTAGAATGTGTAGAGTTCAGGGGTTCTAAATGGTATAACCAGTGTGATAAACTCGCACTTCATCAGTACTAATGTGTTTATTAAACACAGGACAAAAAAAAAGTAAAGTGCTATCCCRTTTTCCTCACATAAAAGGTTATAACTATTATCTTTCAAAGTAATTATATTGCTATTCATTTGCTCTTAGAGAATTAGAAGAAGAAACAGGACACATACACATCGATACTGCAAATATTTACAAGAACTGCAATCAAAAGAGATGCCCCACTTCTGGCCATTTACACACTATTTCAGAACTATGTACAGATCTTCTGAAAGAGCCAAATTCAGAAAAAAACGTGAGAACTTGCATTATCCCTATTAGAGAAAAAATCACAGAAATTTTCTTTATTATATGCCATAGATGTATTTTACTATCTACTAGCAGATTGATGTTTAGGAACATTAGCTGAAAATAAAATTTWAGTGCATCCCAGAATACAGCCCACAGCACTGAATATGATATTGGTACATATTTAACATTACTGTTAGCAAAAATTTATGCTTCTTAAATATATGGTTTAAAGTATCAGCAACCGCACTATTATTTTATCAAAGCAAGGCCTTTRTTTAACAAAATGGTTTTAAAAACACTATGGCATTAACTATTGTACTTCAAATTTTTGCTACATTATTCTGAGCTCTTTTTGCCAGCACAGTTTTACACTGTTGCTAKCTTTTGAATTTCTCCTTTTTAACTTTAAATAAAATAAAATAATACTATACCCAGTGGAAAAGGAAAACATCAAGGTCCCATATCCAAGACTGTTACAAAAATATCTTTTGGAAAGCGTACACAAGCAAATACAGCAATGAGGCCTGTAACAGTGTGTCTCAACCACAGCAGGGAAGATTTCTGAGATGAGTTTCAACACTAGGTTTTGTCTAAGAGGCAAAGCAAACCTCTCTCACACTAGTGAGAGCTTGGAGATTCTGCCTCACAGAACTTCTAAAGACTTAAAGCCACAGTGCACATATCCTGGGAAAAAGCAGTCACGCACCCATCCGCACGCAAGGGACAGACCCCTCCCGCTCAGCACTGTTCTCCAGATACTTAAATTCCATATTCCACACAGCAATTATGTCATAAAAGTTAGACCATAACTATCCTTAGAGTTTGGAGAAAAACGTGCAGGACTAAGGTTTTTTCCTTGCATTGCCTCATTCCAGAAAACCTTGATTAAGCCAGACAGTGGGACACGGTAAATCAGAGCCGGGCGATATCAATTCCCACACAGGCCGCCGCGGCCTTGTAGAAGTGCACCCTGCAATTCCTGGGTTACGGGAGACTGAGAAATTTGGACTCTACCATGATTTTGGCTGCGGCTGAGTTGATTTTCTCCACAGCAGTTCGTGTAGAGCTGTGGTTTTGATCTGCTCTGGAAGCGGCGTTGGTAACGCAGAGTTGATGTTGGTTTTGCTGAGCAGCATTTATTTACACCACGTCAAGGCCTTTCTTGCTCCTCACACTGCCCATGCAACGAGGAGAGTGGGTGACACAAGGAGCTGGGAGGGGACACAGCTCACCCCAACTGATCCAAGGGACATTCCATAAAATACAGAATATTACAGACCATGCTGGGTTTATAAAGCAAGGGAAAGAAAGAGGAAGGAGTGATGGCGTTTGTCTTCTGAAGTCACTGCTACAAACAATACAACCCTGTTTTCCTGGAGCAGCAGACGGCTGTTTCTTGTTGAACACRGAGTAGAATTAGGATTTTATAATCTCATTTTGCTGCACGGTATCTGCAGAGGCATCAATCATTCTTCAAATGCAACAGCGCATATAAAAGCAAGAAAACATACCATCAAACAGTTGACTGCAAAAAGGTTTGGGCAATTTTAATATCCCATACACCTGTCTGAATACAGCACTGACAGAATAAAAAATGTTGCAGAAGAAACTGYTGCCAAAACATTGAATACAGCTCCTCCTGAAAGTCACTGCTGAAAGCTAAGGAAGGAGATAAGGCTTTGAAAATAATTTTCTCACGCAAGAACCAAACTATGTCAGTAAAGGATTGTGTGAATGATACCAAAGAAGTTGCATGTTATCAAAAGGTGTAGAGGACAGCAAAAACTGGTGGAATGCTATGTTATTCATTCATCTGTGGGCAAACAGAAATGTGTATCTGATAGTGTGAACTCAGGAACGGATCATCTTTACTCCTTAGGAGGTCTGAAATGCTTCATTATCTGCTGAGAAACTGTAATACAKGGCAAAGCTCCTGTGGAAAGACCAAAAATTCTGTTGAAAAAAGCTTCTCCAAGGTGAATGAGAAACAGCAGACACAGTCTGATGGGCATATATAGTACAAAAAACAACAACAAAAAAGCCCTAATCCAAACCGCCCAGAAAACCAGTATTGTCTCATAATGAATTATCACAGCAACAGATATTAAAGAGGAAATAACTTGAAAAGGATGGCCTGCTTTTAGGAGAGCATACACTCARTGTATTTTAAATCTACACTGCAATTATTAAGCTAGAAAAAAAAAAATATTCCCTCATCAAGTAGGGCTTTCAAAATGCACTTTGCATACTCTGGGGCTGTGAGAGTTGGCCTCTTGGCTAACTCCATGTTCCTAGTAGGTACTTGACCCACGTATTCTTATGTTTAGAAAAATAAGCCCAATTATAGTGTGGGCATGATCACATATGCAAAACATTTCTCCTGCTTTTTTCAGCCCTTATAATATTCATAGAGGGTAAAAGAAAAAAACAGGTTGTCATATAAATCAAGTTGAGTTCAGAAGCCAAAATCAATTAAATGTCCATAGATTTAGAAGTCTGCCAGGTGACATTTACTTTTTCTATTTATTAAACCAATACCCTTCGCCACTTTGATTCCCTGTACTTCTGCAAAGTGAGTTTAGACCAGTATTTTATCAATGCTACCAGTCCAATGAGAACATGTATGCTATGAAACTATTGGTCCAAATAATTCAATCTATGCTCTAGGCATGTTTTCATAAGCCACCTGCACAGCTGCTTTTTGCTGCAGCTTTATTTTCACCTCAGCTCCATTTTGCTGAGCTTAATGAATTATATATACTACATATTACATTATCATTATTATTCTCATTGTTTTTACGAATGCTGCTTATTATTTGGTTATGAAAAAAGGATAAGAATTCTGCTCTCGACTGCAGTAAGCAGGTCCGTAACAGGCTTGTCCAAGACTCTGGAAATGCTTGATAAAAAGTCAATTACCAYCTCATTGTTTAAGAGAACTGTTAGACATGGCATGATCGGTTAATAGTACACCTTTAAACTACTTTCTTTTATTAAATACAGATAATCAAAAAGTCTAAATTCCAAGTGTACSCCATAAAAATGCAAAAGGAATTGTGTTCAAACAGTTATCCATYATTTTCTTCACTCATACCCTCTGATATTAAAAAAAATTCCACAGTTTAGCTGCAAGTTCATTATGGATCTGTTGTCATTACTGCATATATTTATGGTCATAATACTCTTCAAATTATCACCTTTTTACTTATTTTCAGCTGTCAACTATGACAGCAATTGATAYGTCTCAGCGGCAGTATTTTCCTATTTTACTATAAATCTGCTCATTTGGGAAAATGATAAACATAATAGAAAAACTGTTTCTCATCAGATCAGATCATAAGATGAAATGCTGTGCTGTGTGAAGACAGCTGCAGCAGGTTATGCATAAGTGCCAAAAAGAATAATCATTTAAATTTTGAAAACTTACTTTATACTCCTTCATACTTTGGAACAAATAGKCATATTGTGCTTACTGTAATCAAAGTGCTATAAACAGAACTAACCAAGTATTCTAGAAGATAAATTTACTGCTTTCCCTCTGATACTAAACAGAATATGCTTCCAAAAAATGCCATAAAATTAGAATATAACAGAACTCATTTGATAAATGTGCTGAATTTCAGATGCTAAATGGACTGTT